TTGTTGGCTGTACTTTCAAAGTATACTACATGAATACTGTATAAAAGGATTTGATTGGGGTGAAGAGCTACTGCTTAGCCAATAGTTTTGTTTTCTTTCCATTTGGAAGAGAAGTGAGGATGAGCTGTTTTCTCCCAGCAACTAGCTTAAACAAAACTTCAATATAAACTTGAACTATGTTGGAAGACATGGCATAAATGTGATTATTGGAGTTGCTGGATTTGCAACAAAGGAAGCTGTTTTAGCTCTCGACTTCTTTTTTTCAGGCAGAATAATGACATGACATCTTGTGAATATCAAACAATTTTGCTCCTTTCTATGGACATTAAATGAGTCAGATCTCCTGCGTATAAAAAGCACATCTGCATTAGTGTAAAAATTGCAGGGGGGCAGAAGGAGTGTGAGAAATACATTTAGTATGATCATGGCAGAGTTCGACGTATATAGGCATAAGTGTTATATGTACTGAATGTATGCTCTTGGAACAAGATGTATTGACTAGATGCATTGCCTTGTATATATGGCATTTTAGTTAAGGATTGTCTGTATGCAAGCACTGTATGAATTTCATTCGTCCCAATTCATTCCTTTGCTGCCTTTTCATCTAATAGAAGACCAGGATAGAAAATACGACTCCATTTGTTCATATTGATCTTTAGATGGATTGTTTCCTTCTAGAGCAAAAATAATTCCTCTATGACAGAAAAATACACAAGCTCTTTCTTCACTCTTATCTTTTCATCACTCTCTTTTCTAATACAAATAGTAACATACTCTGCTGACACTACACAGTTCATCATTTGATGAAGTGGTGTTTCATTATGAAGCAGCTCTACCTGTATTCAAGACCTGAGGAAAACAGCTTTATCCAAACCATCTCTTGCTTCCACCTTCAAATGTGGGTAAATTTGGAAGCAGAATTTGTATTTCTCCATTTTCAGTCAGATAACCAAGAGATGTATGAGAAAAAGAAAGTTGTATCTTATCTCCATCTACTGCTACAAGAACTCTGTTTGATATGTGATGAAATCACACTATTTTTCTGCCCCTATCAATAATAGGCAATAGTTCAAAGAAAAAAATAGGAAGCCCTGCAGGGTCATTGAAGCAGATCTAGTATTTTAGTAGCTATCACCCACAAGGAGAATGTAACAGAAATAAAATAGGGCATCCTCTGTACTTCTTGTGATGCTTAATATTGTCTTGATAATTTTTGCTGAATTAATGTTATTAATATTCTTACTAATGAAATAATAACAATCATATTAGAATCTGTAATCCATAATAGTAATATATTCTTACAGTCTAAATGAAAGATGATAGAAAGCCAGAATATTTTTGCCTATTTCTGCTATGAATCAGATGTAAATGAGATTATTTAATTTAGGTTCTTTCCAGTCACCCCAAATTTCATAAGTTTTCTCTCAACTTTTAGGTGACAGCACTATGGTTTTCTTAAGAGATGGAATAGCAAAAAAGGAAAATCCATTACAAATGGCTGTGTAATATATTATAGTAAGCTAAACCTGAAGAACAAAGCTAATCAGTTTCCACAATATGATATTGAACATATACCATTATCATTATCGTTATGAGAAATCATTTTCTCACGAGGCAGGAAATCACACTATGGGTGGAACACGATGAAACAGACTGGTTGCAGGTCAGCAAAGAAGTAAAACTAGGTCATGTCTTCTCTCTTTTATATATTCCACTTATAAGTTGAGTATATATTGAGAAAAGTTGGACTGAAAGAAAACGTATCTTTAAAACTGGAGGAAGAAACATCAATAACTGGTGCAATGCTGATGACACAACTAAGATAGCTGAATATGTAAATAATCAGCAAACTCTAATAATGAAAATGAAGAACTCAGTGGAAAAATGGAACTAAGATTGAATATAAGAAAGACCAAACTAATGAGGTGCCACCCAATTCCTACAGCAAACTGTCTGGAGCAGGGAGGCACTTTTAATTCACTGGATTAAATTTATATTAACTAGGCTTAAAACTGACAATGAAGATACTGAAGTGATGGATAGTTTCTGCCTTTAAGAATGAACAATTGACAATAAATACATCAGTAATAAAGAAATCCGCCTTTTAGGGTTGACGATCAACACTGAAGAAATCAGGAGTCAAAAATATGCTGAAGATTAGAAAAAGATATTCAGATGCTAGGATGTGTCTACCTGTAACTAGAGTATTGGAAATGCAGTGGAATTTTCTCTGTGATGCTCTACAACAGGGGTCTCCAACAGAGGTGGTATTCAGCAGGTTCTGACCAGTTCTGGAGAACCAGTAGTGGAAATTTTGGGTAGTTTGGAGAAGCGACAAATGCCACCTCTGACTGGCCCCGCCCTCCATCTATTCCTCTGCCACCCGAGTCCCAGCTGATCGGCTGGGTCTTCTTTTGTTGCCCTGCACAGGAGAACAGAGCTGGAAAGCAGGTTAGTGGGGTGGGGAGGGAATGGGGATTTTACAGTATCCTTCCACTGCCACGCCCACAAGCCACACCCACTAGGCCATGCCACGACCACCAAGCCACACCCACAGAACCGGTAGTAAAAAAAATTGAATCCTACCACTGATCTCCAACCTTAGCAACTTTATGACTTGTAGACTTCAACTCCCAGAATTCCTTAGCCAGCAAAGCAAATCTCGCCGAGGAATTCTGGGAGCTGAAGTCTACAAGTCTTAAAGTTGCTAAGGTTGGAGACCCCTGCTCTACAAAGTGCAGGTTGGATTTGAGGAGGCAGGATAGGAGGACTGTTGATGCTTTTGAACTTTGATGTTAAAGAAAATCCCTGAGAATGCCATGGATAACTAACGAAACAAAAGTATTATAGAATAATCAATCCAAAGTTCTCGTTCAAGGCTAAAATAATCAGGCTCGAATTATCATATTTTGACACATTGTGCAAATCACACCATTGTGTTACATTAGGAATGCCTTATTCAAGAGTCTCAAACTTCCTAATATTGTGGCATGGTAAATGTAAATGAATCTGTGCGACACCCCCCCCTCTTGTGAATAATAAGGGGTGTGTGCATTCACACTAAAAAGTTTAATGGGAGGGATCGGTAATATATTTATATTTGCTGAAAATAGGCTTTTATTTGCATTTCTGATAGACTGGTCATACATGCAGAACAACAATACCAGAATGTTTCACCATATTTGTGTTGAATGTTATTTCAACAAATGGAAATGACTTTTGAAGCTGTGATTAATTAAAAGTCCTATTGATTATATCTTTGTTTTGTGTTTGGGCTTAGCAAAAGTCAGAAGTGCCTAACGAAAAATATATTATTATATATTGAACCAAAGATGTATAAAACAAGTGGTTCAATATTTTGTATCATAAGATTCTCCTGAGTATTATTTGCCCTACAAAAATGAATACAAACTATAAATAATGTAAATCACCATGAATTATTAATTTGTTATGTACACATCATTCCCAGCTACAAAATTTAGATAAACATTTTTTTCACTTAACTGTAAATACTGAAGAAACAGAACTGTTCACATATTTTATTTGGAAATGGACTTGGTTGAAATTTAAGACAAAACTAACAGATTTTTTTTCAGTCTCAGAACTTAAAGGGCATTTACTTTTTTTTGAAATAATCTTACAAAGTTATTCTGTATATAAGAGTCACAATTTTTTTAGATGTTGATGTAGTATCAGATATCACTTAAAACAATGCTTTATACTAGAACCAGAATTCATGATCCAAAACTTGAATTACCAAGTACTTTAGCAAATAATGATTGAAAGAATTTTGTCTGATTTGTTTGTCTGAACTACAATATCCATATTCAATAACCACATAACCATAAATCACATGTATCTATGGGGCAGAGAGTGGTATTGCCTACAAGGATTGGCAGCCATCTTGAACTTGTTATTTCTTGTCTTGCATATTAACTTGTTTCTTGTGCATGGCACTTCTTTCTGGAATTCTAGTTATTTAATTTTAAGAAAACAGTGATTTTTTAAAAAATGTTTTCTGGCTTCATTTGTGTTTCATCTTCTCCTAGACAGAAAGTTTCCCTTTCCCTTCCAACACCATTCTCTCATTATAGCGTGTCACTGAGATCATGACCTTTGCAAACATTTGTTTGGCAGATATTTTTTATCATAGTACTCTGCACATATTTAGCACTTCCATCAATATTACAAATATGACAATTAGTCACTATAATGGAATGGTCAACTAGATAAAATTCTTATACCACATCAAACTAGGATAACCAACGTATATTCCACAGGCCACATATGTTTTCCAATTCCCAATCTGCAGCCTCCCATCATGTTGCCCCAAATTGTAGCAATACGTACAATTGTTCTCACTACAAATTATAGCATTTATCATTAGATAAAATGTTAAAATGGAGATACTACATCAACAAATTCCCACACTACACGTAACCACAGCTTTTGGATGTCATATTAATTTAAAAATACTGCAACCCTTAGGTCAAAGGTCTATAGTACTCCTCCATCAGTTACAACTTGGTTTGTTTAATTTAATTTGCTTGTGGCAGGGTGTTTATTTTTTATTACTGAACACACGCACACCTTACTTTTCTGCTTCTAATTGCCTTACAACCTCAATTTAGCCCCTATGGTTTGTAAACCACAATTTGTGCACTGTATTGAATGAACTCCACCAAAGGTGACTTATTCAACAAACCTCAGTAACTGATCACACCATGACCAACCAGGGCTAAAGACAGTATGTGATCCCAGTGAAAGTGAAAAAGCAAAGAGAGAAAGTTAGGTTGTGTTTATTGACGGAAGAATAATGCAGAGCCAAAAACATAAAACACAGAAAATCCTGTGATCACAAACATTTCAACTGAAGAAACTGCATAGCATCCAAAGAAAATGAATCAGTAGTCAACCTTGAAAATATAAGAATTAATTTCTATTACAGATTCAAATGTATTTTTGTTAATTTTTTTGCTAAAATAAGTGAAATATGTTACCTTAAATTTGTCAAGTTCTGCTTTTGAACACGTTGCATGATAAGACAGCACCTGATCCAGAACAAATGGGGAGGGGAGGGAGAAACGGTCACAGATGAGAATCTAAAAAGTTACAATCATCTTAAACCAGGGATGTCAAACTCAAGGCCCGTGGGCCAGAAGTGGCCCATGGGGTGCTTAAATCTGGCCTGCATGGCCGGCCTGGAAATAGCAATGGACCAGCCCACGGTGCCTCTGGCAGCCAAAATGTGCCCCGTTTTGGCCAGAAGGGTGCTGCAGGAGGTGTACGTCTCATCTCCACCTCCCCCCCAGCTAGCTGGCTGGTCCGTGGAGGAAAACTACAAGGCCCGCGAAGAAATCCAGTTTGACACCCCTGTCTTAAGCCATCAACGAAGTGAATTTTATAATGGTTTATTAGTATCTCTGCAATATATATTATCCATAAAACTACTTACCCTGGTGAACCCAATTTTAAAGAAAACTAGAATGCCCATGGTTCTGCTTCTAGATTAATACAATTTCACTACAGCTACTCATATTATGCCTACTTCAGTTTTTAGGCCTCACTTGCAAGGCAAATTAATAAACAACAGAGTCATTTGAATTATTTTTTGATCCTGGCAGTAGTATCAACCACCACTGCACAGAGACATAATTGTCCAGGAAAAAGTACCCTGAAAATCAGAGGCACCAAACGTTTTTTGCTTTTTTACAAGTCTTAAAAATGTTCTCTAATAGTCTGTTTTTAAAAGTTGAATTAAATGATTGAGTGATATATGGAAACAACTGATACCAAATTAAGAAATTAGCTAACAATCTAAAAGAGTCTTTTTTAAAACCCTAAATCTGTCTCAATTTGAAGGAATAAAACTGTTGATTAATAATGAGCTATTGATTTAGACAGTTTACATGGTACAATATGTATCCTGGGTCTTTTTTTTCTTCTGTTTCTTCAGTCTTTTTTTTTTAAACAAAAATATTGTTTTCTTCACTTGTTTAATAGAGAGGAAGTCATAGGTCAGTATACGTAACTTTTTATTTTATTTTGTTTCTGTTTAGTTTTTTCCAGTCTGCTCTTCCTCTTCATTTTCTGTATGCTACAAACCACAGCAATTCAGTACTTGTAAATGTATTGGCATTGTTGCCTTCCTACTGACCCTTTTCCAATTATATATAACATCCTTTGAATCAGTCTCATAAGAAGCTTTTTTTAAAAAAATACCTGATTTTCAATAATACTTACATCAAGAGCCACAGACTGTTTTGCCCAGGATTTTTTCACTTGGTCGTACATTATAGTATTATTGATGCCCAAGCCACAAAATATAACAAAAGCCTAAAAAAAAGTATAGCTTTAATATAAGTGATTTCAAAATTTAATAATACTGAATGGAATAAAGAAAGCAATGTTCTGGTTACTAGGATGTGCATGAAATTAAAAAAAAACATATTGTGTGAGCTCAGAACACAACAGTCCCACTTGAAATGCTATTGTACTCCAGTCCTAGAAAACGTTGAAAACAATGAGGTTCTTCTTTCTCAGGACTGTACAAATACATACAGTGGCAGTTTATGCAGATATTGGCTTGTCAACTTGCATAAAGATTAGCTAGCCAAAATTTATTTTTTTAATTCCCCCAAAGTGCGCAAGAAATTTGAAGTTTCCTATACAGGGTTCAGGGATTCTTGTCCAGGGGGCAGGAGGAGTGCTGACTTTTCCCCTATTTATTGTGAGTTTTCTTGCAGATAGTCAGCAACTGACATCGCAATTTTTATTTTTCAGTTTCAAGATGTGGTTTTATCTTTCCTGTCAGCCTTATAATAGCTGGCTTACAAACATATGAATGAAGAAACAAATATGCTTCTCCATACTGGAATGAGAACATTAAAGAAAGAAAGAAAAGCGGCAAGTACCGCTGTGCAGGGGGAAAAAATCTTACAAGAAAAATACAAAATTGCTTTCCTATACACTGGTGCTTAAGTTTATCTTCTAAAACCTCAGCCACTCAGAAAAAGAACAAGAATGAGTCATGCATGTATGCTTGATTGGGGGAGAACCCCCCCCCATCTTTTTACTCCAAATGCCAAAGGAACAAATACTGTACACTGCAACATCTTTTTATAGCAAAATACATCATAGACTGCATCAATATTGCACAGAAACATGAACAGAGTGCAAGCCCTCAGCAAAATTCAACACTGAGCTGAAACCAACCAGTACAGACTTTTTATATGAGTTGGGTGCCCTACAAGCTTAATAAATTATGGTTGGTTGCATGGTCAGCCATAAGTTTAGACTGGATTTGGCATTTTTATCCACTTATTGAGTCCTTCCCAAGGACCTAAGATAGGCAGATATTGTTGAATAAAGTTAAAGATATCATCACAGGATGTAAGCATTTCTAAATACATCTGCCTTTCTTATTATGGTTTGTTGCAGTCAGCCAGCTGTTCAGACTAGATTTGGCATTTTGTATATTATTATATACACGTGCAATATAAAATCATAGCAGCGAGTTCTTTAGCTAATGTTGGCCTTCATAAGGATTGAGTTTTTCACAAGATCCTGGGTTGTTACAATACAGTATATTGGCATAGTATACAGTATGTGCATAACCAAGCAGTTTGGCCTATTATAATTGACAAGTGGGAATTTTATCAATTTTAAATTAACAAATTAAAATTAAATGTGATTTATTTAATTTAAGTGTTTAAATAATTTACATTTAATTAAATTTAAATTTTAAAATGGGAACCTTATTATTGTTGTTGGTCACACAGTCAGCCAGATGTTTAGATTGGATTTGGGATTTTTATTCAAGCCCTTCCCAAGAACCTGCTGTTTGTTTGACAGGGTTAAAGGTATTATCCCAGGATGTAAGCTGTCCCAGGATGTAAAGTTCCCTTTTGCAACTGAATGACTGTGATTTTGTTAATGCTGATGGTATTCAAGTAAAGCTCCAGATGCTTTAGGATTGCACCCAAGGATTGCACCCACCCATCTTTCCTTTCTTTGGTTTCATTGGTATTATCTTTCCTTTCTTTTGCCACAGTTGTTCTATTCCTGTTTACAGGGCTTTGTATTTGTGATGTTCTCAAGTTCTTTCTCTTCTACTCTGCTTTCTCCAGGTCCTTTATGCATTTTTTTTTGGTCTTATCAACAATTGGTAAGTTAGTTGCAGGTGCTTGTCTGATTGAATTCTAAGGTCTCAAAGCACTTTAGTCTCCTTGTTTTCCTTTGTATGCTTTTCCACCCTATTGATTATGGATCTTTCAGAGACCCTTTAAAAACAAAGATGTATTATATTTTTAAAGGTACCCCAAATTTAACAGACTAACAGAGTTGGAAGGGACCTTGGAGGTCTTCTAGTCCAACCCCCTGCTAAAGCAGAAAACCCTATACCTTTTCAGACAAGTGGCTGTCCAATCTCTTCTTAAAAACCTCCAGCCTTGGAGCATTCATAACTTCTGGAGGCATGTCATTCCACTGGTTAATTGTTTTGTCAGGAAATTTCTCCTTAGTTCTAGGTTGGTTCTCTCCACAATTCGTTTCCATCCATTGCTTCTTGTCTTGTCTTCAGATGCTAGTTTGGAGAATAGGTTGATCCCTCCCCTCTTCTTTGTGGCAGCCCCTCAAATATTGGAACACTGCTATCATGTCACCCCCTGGTCCTTCCTTTCACTAGACTAAACATACCCAATGGAAGTCACCCCATGCTCAATACTCAATTGGGTGGCTAAATCAGCAATGCTGCAACACAAGATTGTGGACCAGGCTTGTCGATCAAACTAAGATACACAAACCTTGGTTAAACCTATCCCTGCACTCTCTTTGTCTTTGCTGCACTCTCAGATTGATGAAAAATGCTGGATTCCCCCCCGCCCCCATGCAATGGGAAAGAAATTATCTTCTGCAGATAAACCTGGAATCAATCAGATTCATTCACTTACTTAAATTTCTACATCTTCAGCACACAAGAAGGTGCATAGTGCATACTATACCTGAATTTAAAAAGGCAATTGTATTAGTATTGTTTGCATTTACTCCTAACCTCACTCTTTTGTCCATCTCTCACCTACAGCAGTCAAACCCAGAATGGCTCCCTCAGTTCCCTCTGTGCCCCTAAGGGCTACTGCTTCATACCAAAGCTCCCTCTCTCACATCGTCCATGACTAATCCCTAGCAATGTACGGGTTCAGGCTGCAAAGTTCAAAGTGAATTTTGAATTGCGGTAGGGGAAGCAACATTCCAATTGGAAGAAGCAAAACAAAATTCTGGATCTTCAAAGACTATTCAGAAGACTGCTTTAAAAAAAAAAGATACATTTTATTCCGTACTTGAAATAAACATTGCAAAGAGGCATGTTTTCTTCTGAGCATGATTGTTTTTCAGGAGCATGTTGGCTCCTGTTAATCAATCTCTGGGCCACTTTTTTTGGAGCACTTGAGAAAAAGTTGGACATGGTAGAAAAAAGAAAATGGACCAGGAATAATAAAAAGAGTAGAATTAAAAAAATATCTCTTGATCAAAAACTGTGAGTGAACACTAGGTAAATCTTAAAATGTAATTCTATAGTGAGCAATTTAATTTAAGCTACTGTAAAGATTTATAAAGCAATATCACAAGGCACAGTATTTATATTATAAAGCAGACAAGAAAAAACAAGGCTTTGTGCAGTTGCAAATACTGATGGAATTATTACATTGTAATTATTTATTTTTAAACCAAAATGGAAGAGCAAGGTTTGTTGTGTTTTCAGAACAGCAGATTCAATCTTTCACTTTAATTTTACTATTTAATTGTCTGATTATCACTCATACAAATGCTGAAGCAGACTACAGCAGCCAGGTTCCAAAGATATCTGCCACCACTAATATAGAGGTGGTCCTCGACTTACAACCATTCATTTAGTGATCAAAGTTACAACATCACAGAAGAAAATGACTTATGACCGTTTTTCACACTTACAACCATTGCAGCATCCCCATGGTCACGTGATTTACATTCAGATGCTTGACAACTGATTCACATGTATGTTGGTTGCAGTGTCCCGGAGTCCTGTGATCGCCTTCTGCGACCTTCTGACAAGCAAAGTCAATGGGAATACCACTATTCACTTAACAACCATGCTACTAATTTAACAACTACTGTGATTCACTTAACAAATGTGGCAAGAAAAGTCATAAACACATAAGCACTGAATATGTAATTAAATTTCGTCAATTTAACATGTCTTACCTCAAAGAGTCGCTGATCAGCATCATCAAAAGGTTTCCCATCAAGTCTATTCAGCACCTGAGCAACCCCTTTACAAGGAATTAACAAACATAGTTAATTTTATATTTTAAAGGAAACTGTGTATTTACAATGATAAACATATACATAAATACATTAATGAAGAAAAAATGCCACAAAACAAGAACTCAAAATTCAAAAACCACAAGGCATTATTGCTTGCATTATAAATTATAAATATTATACCAACAGCATCTGATACTGGATTACTAATATATTCATGGAAGCTTTAATTCAGCTAAATGAAAAAATTCAAAATAGTAGCTTTTCTCCTTCCTTGCTGGCTGAATTAGATTTAGCTCTGGGTGTCAGGCTTCATGTCAACTTATTGTACAAATATTCTTTGTGTATCTCATTTTTAATATAATAAATTCCATGAGACAGTAAATTATAACTAATTTGGAAGCAGAGCAATCTGTTGCTTGCCAATCTTCTTTTCTTCCTAATCCTTCTTTCACTTGCTGGATCAGTACTTGAAACTTCAGAAATAGACTTTTGTTTTTGTTTTTTTCAAGGAGAATTTTATTTATTTTAATTTATTACCACCATTAATAATTAATACATTAATTGCTAAAACAGCCAACAGTAAAGTTTTATTACAGTTCTATTGTTTGTGTTCACATCTTTTATACCATTTTATACGGACATGGACAATATCAATATAAATTTAATTTGAAAATCTACAAAAGAAAGTTATCTGCAGTAGTTATCTACTACTGCAGTAATTAATTGATAATGAACTATATCATATCAACACACTAGCTTGATACCCGTGCTTCGCTATGAAACAATGTGGTTGGGCTTAGTTTTTGGGGAGGAAAATAAGGGCAGGGGGAAATTCTTCCTCTGCCTACCAGCATCCATTGGTATTCATCTGGCTAGCATCCTGTCACTGTGTGAGAGAGTTGAGGGCTGTTTGGAAAATGAAACAGTATTTGCTGTGTGAGCAAGAAGGAAACAGCAAGGAGCCTGGGTGTGGTTTAGCTCAACTGTTCTGTACTAAAGCTGGTTGCTGCTGTGAAACTAAAACTGAAACTCCTCTGCTTGTGTTTTGCATTTGGAACAGATTTATTTTCAGGTGGGGAGGGGGAGCAGAATTCCTTAGCAGCAGAGCATGTTAATAATAATATATGAAATACTGATGCTCTGATGGTCATTTCGAAAAATCCTTTCTTAGTGAGCACCTAGCCAAGAGGAACATATGTGCCAAATTTCAAGTTTGTAGGCTTTACAGTTCTGGAGATTTTGTGATGATGTGTGAATGGTATTTCACTTTTAGATATATAGATTAACACATGTTTTACATTTTAAAAGTATTTTTAGTATCTTACCAATTATTTGGTGACTGTTATTCCATATAGGTACACAGAGTACAGATCTTATGTGAAAGCCAGACATCTGATCAACCTAGGTTTAAAAAAAACCTTCATCAACTACCATAACATATGATTTAGTCTTAATCCAAAAGATATACAGGTAGTCCGTGATTTAGGACCACAATTGGGACCGCAAAATCCATCACTAAGTGAGATGGTTATTAGAAGAGTTGCAGCTGATTTACAACCTTTTTTTCTGCAGTCATTAAGCGAGTCATGGACTGATTAAGCAAATCCAGTTTTCCCCATTGATTTTGCTTGTTGGAAGCTGTCTGGGAAGATCACAAATGATGATCATGTGACCCTGGGACACTACACCATCCTAAATACACGCTGGTTGTCAAATGCCGAATTTTGATCATGTTACAATGAGGGTGCTGCGAGAATTGTAAGTGTGAGGTCAGTTGTAAGTCATATTTTTCAGCACCATCATAACTTTGAACAGTTGCTAAATAAATGATCGTAAGTTGAGGACTACCTGTATCATCATTGCCTTGCATATTTGAAAAAAAAATGCTAATTTGAAATGATAATACAATTACATCAACACTAGGCAAAATGATATGTATCGATGCATCTTTATTGAACACATTTCAGTGGTACTGAAGCTTTGCTTCCTGAACTCCGGTGATCCTTTTTTAAATCTGTTTTGTATTTTAATAGTCTTTGCTACTTTTCATCATTTTAAGCAAAAATTTATGGAAATGGAGTTCAACATATGATTTTTGCTGTGTTGTAAAGGAAGTAACTGCTGGACCTGTTACTAACAGTATTATAAATAAGTTTCCAAAATGATAAAGACATTTCAGAAGTAAAATACATAACAATTTTACTTGCAATTCAAGTAGTGCAGGAAAGGTACAGAAGCAAAAGCTGATGGCAAATCCCAGTTCTTAGCTTTCTTGTATTTTAATGAGATGTTATTTTAATAATCAAGACATTTTGTCTTCAATAATCATTTTTCCTGAAAATTGACTTTGGAGATTAAATATTAAATAGCAAGACAATCCCATCAAGAATTAGTTATTGTTTCTTCTGCCTCATAAAAAACAATATTCCTTCTCTAAATAAGTTGACGGGATTTTTATTAATGCATTCTTTAAGGAAATGTAAAACAAAAATTAATCAGCTGCATTACATATTAATCAAAAGAACATATGTGAAATTGTAACTCTACATTCAGTAAGAATATTATATGCTTTATTTCAGCATGCCTTTTGGTAGGAAATATTGCCTAGGCATTAATGACACTTTCTCAACGACTGAATTAATTACCTCCAGCAGTGTTCTCTGTAAAATGGTTCTGAGCATTTATATTTCAAATATAATAAAACATCTATTATGAAGGCTTTTAGAGACATTTCTTGACAGACTTCCTATAAACAGAAGACTTTGTAAAAATGTCACTTTTGCTCTTTTAGCTTTGTATGGATTGAACTGCTGTAACTTCTCACCTAATTCTGCACCAGGATCCCACCTACAAAAACACTCAAACTAAACTATTTTAGGGCTCTTTGAATAAAGTAAAGGAATTAAGAATGCCATAATTGTAGGAAATTTTGGCACCTGCAGCAATTGTGATCTGATATTTTCAGAAAGTTACAGAAGGCTAAGAAACTGTGTAAAGGAGCAAAACTTTAACAGACCGACTTTAATTAACCAGACAATTATTTCAATACATAGATCCAATCCTTATTCTAAGAATGACTCAATCAAATAGAGAAAAGATGCATTCAGAAGGCAAATCTTCAAAAGTATTGTGGATGGTGGTAGGCCGAAAGATCAAGAGGCAATCATGACCGTGCAGTTGAAGCCCCATCCCATGTATATGTGTGGAAGTTCAATACATGTGCAGAAGGGATGTGGCTTCAAACATGTGGTCATAGGCACAATCTTGATTTTTTTTTTTAAACACACCATGAGGATGTTTCTATAAATCTTGTAATTTCTTCCAGGTCTGTGATCAGATCATAAAAGGTACATTCAGCTATCATTACATTTGATAAATATAATTAGCTATTAAAAAGCTCTCCAAAATGTTGAGTATCAAAAGAATATAGAATGGGATACTTATATAAGTAAAAAATGTCTTACTTCTGCATCAAAGCGAGGATCTTGATAAGCATCACTATTGTTCACTGGAAGGCCAGTAGAAGCTACAAGTTCAGCAATGCTATTATTTACTAGCCAGTCTGAATAAGATGCTGATGGTTTCTCCAAATTGTCTTTGAAACTATTAAAAAGAGCAAGGGAAGAAAGAATGTAGTCACTATTGGTTCAGAATCCACTTTAATATATAGAAACCATCATCTTGTTTCAGAGTAACCTTTAAAATTTCAGAGCAGCTTAATTACATTTAGATAAAACAAAAAAAAATGAGCAAATAACTTGTATTTATTTGCTCTCGGTATTTATATCTGTACACAACTGGGGAAAACTGTTAGAGCGACACAGAAAAATGATTTACGTTTTTCTTTAATTATGCCTTTTATTCTATTTTGTAGCACATTATTATTATTATTATTATTATTATTATTATTATTATTATTATTATTATTATTATTATTATTATTATTATATATGGCCTATTGGCTAATCAATAAATAATAATAATTACAACAACCTAGGTCTTGGAAAGACCTCAATGCATATAAGGGCCAGCACCAGCTAAAGAACCAGCAGTTATGATTTCATATTACTGTGAACAAATAATAACTATGGGATTTCCAAATACAGGAATGAAGGCGAATATACATGTCCCAGGATAATGTTGCAGGATCCAATCTAGGTCAGTCACTGGGACCAGAAGTTTAGTCTTCAGAGCTTTCGGACTCATGCTGGAGACCATCCTCAGAGAGCCTGTCTCTAGCAGAGTGTGTGCTTGGGCTGTTCTGTGTTGTATTTATATGATGCCTGTTGTGTGTGGCTTTTTAGATGTTGATTGGTGTGTTGATGCTGGCTATTAAGTCGTTGGCTGTTGTTTCCTTGTGCTGCCAAGTCCTTGCTTCCCAAGTTCTTGATAAACTGGTAGTAAATCGGCACTCCTGTTGACTGAGGAAGGGTTGTTTCCCAGGCTTCAATCACTTCCCTTGGCTGTTTTTGTGCATGTTCATCCAATAATCTTTGTAGTTGCAAAATTGAATGTATGTCCTTGTTCACTGCTATGTGAGAGAGCAGGTACAATATTCTGCTTCTATAACTCATTCCCTCAAATCAGTCATATATCTCAAGCAAGCATGAAGTAAAACGCTTAAATGCTGGTTATGTTTTAAGATGTCTTTCATCTCTCTCTCTCTCGCTCTCGCTTTTATTGCTCTTAAAAGCATAATTTTGTAGAGTCCACAGGCCTCTGTTTTCTGCCTGCCATTATTCCATCTTGCAGCTCATATTTCTTCCAGACAAGGCTAGAAATAAATCTTTGAATGACTTACATGAAACATTTGTATTTGGTAAACGCATCTCCCCAGCAATGTTGATTAGTCACCATCAAGGGAAGAAACAGTCCATTCCAAAAGCAATCTGTCTTTTGTTGGGTGGGGGAAGGCACTGGCGATTTGTTTTTGCTTCTCTATAATCCTTTCTTTCTCTTTTTGCTATTATTTACCTTAGCTAAATATATTGGCATTTGGGGTGTCCTTGGTCCTGACTCAAATATGTTGTAGCCTGATAATTTGATTTCTTGGAACCAGCTAATAAAGGTTTACTTTGTCTTTTCTCCCCCTTATTCTTGATTTCTTTAAATTATTCTCTGTCTTGGTAACACCTTTTTATTTATCTCATTGAAAAACAGTATTGATCTTGTAGTTCCGCAGAGGCAAAGATTGTTGTTGGAACATGCATACATTTATTCTAATGTTAGTTTACTTTTCTTTCATATTCTCATGTTGTTTATTCATTGTTTTATTACAAAATATTAACACAGAACTGATTGATAAAGGGTCTTTTTTTCCCCTCTGTCCCCCTAGTAAAACTAATATTCTTTTTATAATCCTTCATTTTTATTTAAACCGAATGTAACTCTAGAACTTAATAATAAAAGGAATTTGTCTCCATATTTATCATGCTGCAGAAGTGAGATTTGTGAAGATTGAGTACACTTTTACAATAGCGCAGCATATGTTGAGTTGAAAGGTAGGATGGAAGAGAGGTATAACATTTACAGGCAAGAGTGAGCCAAGACCTGTTTTTCAGGCCTTGTCTGATAATGAAATTCATGGAAGTCAATCATACAGCTGTATTTCACAGCAGTAAGAGATGTGACTGGCAGATCAGAAGGAGCAAATCCAACTATAAACTGAGCATCTATGAAACCCAGCCTAATTACCAATCAGACTTACTGGATCTGAGATGCTTTCTTTATGGAATTTGGTTTTTCCTTTAAATGTCACATCCATAAACTCCAGCTCATAAACTAAACTGTGTCCTCAGAAATCCAAACTTGAATAAAATATTACTGAAAACAAAACCCAGTCTCAAAAATAACATAAAAGATGCAACTACAGTTTTCTTTAGGTACCTCTTCTCCCTATCCTGAAACCTTCCTTCGTTCCTTCACAATCTCTAAACAAAGGAAAAAATAACTAGAAACAAAACATTCTGTTCTGTTGTTCCATTTTCAGGATCCCGTAAAAGAGCTCCAAATTTGGGAGGGGTTTCCAACTATTTTTTTCATGATTGATTGCTCTACATAACAAATGTTTCCTATGCAAACTTTACAAGAAAGATTACAATAGCCAAATTCAGAAAACATCAGAATCCCTAATAAGTCTAGCTAGAACTCAGTTGGAATCTCTGTTAGAAAAAAAACTAAGAAAAACAGAAAGAACCACATGGAAAAATGGTGATTATGGGGGGAAATTATATGATCAAGGCAATTTTTTTAGGTTCAACATACTTTGCAGACAAGAAAATGTTTTTTATGTTACAGAGAAGAGCAGCCCATGGTTCTCAGCTTGCGTTCCAAGAACAGTTATCTATGTCAAATTTATTTCTGGGCTTTTATTTCTACATAAAAAATTAGAACCAAATGTACATGCTGAAAGTTCTTGAGAATTATATAAGTCAAGCTTCATATTACAACAATGTCAAAATTTCCCAAGTTTTAATGAACCTCAAGATCTGCACCTTTTATCTTATGCTAAACATATAGTACCTTTATTTCTTCCCACTGCTGTCCCTGTAATATGTTGCGTATGAGATACAGAGACCTTATATAAACATGGCCAAGTAAGTATTTTAAGTTTTAAAAATCTGGCTTTATTTTTTAAAGAGGTGATTTAATTAGGACCCATCTTGTCATTAAGGTATTATGCTATTTAAGCTGGAGAGGTGGGGTGGCAGGAGAGAAAAAACAGCCCAAAGTTTTAAACTATCATGATAATGTTTGCACAGCTAAATAATATTTTCATTGCTAAAAATGAAATAGAAATAACCCAAAAATGTATGAAAGTTGGCTGGAAGGAAGAAGATTGTGTAACTCTTCAATAATCACATCAATCAACCTATCAAGATGGTGAAAGCATCTTCAATTTGTTGAAGCTAAGTAACATGGATGGGATTAAAAAAACGGGATGAAGTCCATATGGAATGCCCTTGACAGAAGGAGACTTAATCAAATCTTTTAGTCTGCTAATTATGCTAAAATAATATTCCATGTAATCATGTCACAGTTTTGCAACTATTTCCCACATAACAGAAATGCAACCAATTATACCATTTGAGGAAGAATAATATTTTGTCTTCTACAACATATTGAGCTTAAGGGCATAAAAATATATAATACTTTTACAAGAGTAGAACAAAAGTGAAGGAAAGTATGCCAGCTGGGTGTAACAAATGAAAAATTGTACAAATATTTAATTAAATAAAATGGATTGGATTTCTAGAATGAAGGTGAACTTGAAAGAGCTTTTCACAGACAGAATTTTTTTCCTATAATCTAGATTTATTCCTAAAAAGAAGATTAATTATAAAAGAATAAAATCTAACCTATTTTCTGTATCAGCAACACACTTTGGAGACATCAATTCAAAAGACTTGGTAAATTTTACCTCCTGTGAAGGTAAAACATGTGTAAATGTCATACATTGCAAATTTATTATACAACATTAGAAAAGTACATAACCTCATTATAAAAAATAAATACACTGTGCCCTATTTATACTCAAAACATAAAGCACATTCTTTTAATCCTATCTACATAATAAAGAATTAACTGAATCCTTACATACTGTGAAATTATTACTAATGTGGCCTAAAAAATAGGAGACTGTGAGTCTAATCCTGCCTTTGGCAAGAAAGCCAGGTGGGTGACTTTGAGTCTGTCACTCTCTCAGCCCAGCCCTCCTCAGCAGTATTATTTATATCTGCCACCTTGATTAACTTATAAAGTAATAAAGGTGGGATAAACATGTAATGAATAGAATAGAACAGAACAGAACAGAACAGAACAGAATAGAATAGAAAAAGGAACAGAATTAGAAAAAAGAATAGGAATAGAATAATTATTCCAAAGTATGGTTTCAAGATCACCAAGTTGTTTTTAAGTAATGTTTCTTGTTATTTGAAGACCTCCAACAGTGAACAGTGAAATATTTTATAGTTTGGAGTACTGAGTGAACATTAGGGCTACATGGGGCTGCCTTGAAGACCATGCAGAAACTTTACATAGCTAAGGAAGCACAGTTATGGGCATGTCTCAATATATCCATGTGATACCCTTCCTTTGCAAGCTGGATTGGTTGCCAGTTTGCTTCTGGGTACAATCAAAGTGTATGAACTATAAAGCCTTACACTGCATAGGACCTATTTATGAGAGGGGCTACCTATATCCCATGGTATCTGCATGGCCAATTTGAACTGACAATATTGATGCATTTCAGGTTCTTTCAATTAAACAAGTTCATCTATCAGGACCCAAGAAACACAGTTTCTCTGTCACAATGCCTGTCACCTGGAATAGAAATGTAGGATCCAATCTGGGTTGGGCACCGGACCAGAGGTTTAGTCTTCTGAGCTTTCAGCCTCATGCTGAAACTCAACTTTGGGGAACTTCTCTCTCACCAGAATATGTACACCAATCCAGATTGGATACTACAACATTATCCTGGGACACATATATTTGCCTTCATTTGTAGAATGAAATTTCCTCAGATCTGAATATCTCCCACCCTGTTGGCTTTCCAAAGGCCTACAAAGGCCTGACTTTTCTCCCAGGCCTTGGGCTAAAGTGGTTGGTGTACCATTTGCAGGATGTTAGTTACTGGTGGGATGTTTGGGGGTTTGTTGTTTTGGTCTTCTTTCCTGGTTTCTATTAAATTGTTTTTATATTGTTTAGTGTAGTGTGAATCAAATATATAAATAAACTGGAGTCTGAATGTTAGATTATCAGTGTATCAAATTCAATATTGTTTAAACTAATCTAAAGTAGCTTTTAAGGTGCCAATCAGAAAATTGTTCTGATATGCCAGGAATTGTAATTTGCAATGTTATGTACATCCTGACATTGAACTATGACTACACTGACCACATTTTCTGGAAAAAATAAAGGAGCAACCTGAAAAAGGAGAAAACCTGAAAGAGGTTCATAAGGATCAAAACAAAATTGTTTGTAACAAAGGAAAACCCAAGAGCAAAACAACAAAAATCTAAAGGACAGCTTTCTGAAATAAAGGAATATCCTTTGTAATACAGAGTGTGTGGTCATTCTAATTATGATCCTTTCCCAAAGCTCAGTAAACAAAGGTTGTCCATTAATTTCAGTGGATTATACACTGCTCAAAAAAATAAAGGGAACACAAAAATAAGACATCCTAGATCTGAATGAATGAAATATTCTCATTAAATACTTTGTTCATTACATAGTTGAATGTGCTGACAACAAAATCACACAAAAATTATCAGTGGAAATCAAATTTAGCAACCCATGGAGGTCTGGATTTGGAGTTACACTCAAAATTAAAGTGGAAAAAAACATTACAGGTTGATCCAACTTTGATGTAATGTCCTTAAAACACATCAAAATGAGGCTCAGTAGTGTGTGTGGCCTCCATTTGCCTGTATGACCTCCCTACAACGCCTGGGCATGCTCCTGATGAGGTGGCGGATGGTCTCCTGAGGGATCTCCTCCCACACCTGGACTAAAGCATCCCCCAACTCCTGGACAGTCTGTGGTGCAACGTGGTGTTGGTAGATGGAGCGAGACAAAAGATGTCCCAGATGTGCTCAATTGGATTTAGGTCTGGGGAACGGGCGGGCCAGTCCATAGCATCAATGCCTTCGTCTTGCAGGAACTGCTGACACACTCCAGCCACATGAGGTATAGCATTGTCGTGCATTAGGAGGAACCCAGGGCCAACCGCACCAGCATATGGTCTCACAAGGGGTCTGAGGATCTCATCTCGGTACCTAATGGCAGTCAGGCTACATCTGGCGAGCACATGGAGGGGTGCGCGGCCCCCTAAAGAAATGCCACCCCACACCATTACTGACCCACTACCAAACCGGTCATGCTGGAGGATGTTGCAGGCAGCAGATCGTTCTCCATGGCGTCTCCAGACCCTGTCACGTCTGTCACATGTGCTCAGTGTGAACCTGCTTTCGTCTGGGAAGAGCACAGGGCACCAGTGGTGAATTTTCTAATCTTGGTGTTCTCTGGCAAATGCCAAAGGTCCTGCACAGTGTTGGGCTGTAAGCACAGCCCCCACCTGTGGACGTCGAGCCCTCATAACACCCTCATGGAGTCTGTTTCTGACCGTTTGAGCAGCCACATGAACATTTGTGGCCCGCTGGAGGTCATTTTGCAGGGCTCTGGCAGTGTTCCTCCTGTCCCTCCTTGCACAAAGGCGGATATAGCGGTCCTGATGCTGGGTTGTTGCCCTCCTAGGCCTCCTCCATGTCTCCTGATGTACTGGCCTGTCTCCTGGTAGTGCCTCCATGCTCTGGACACTACGCTGACAGACACAGCAAACCTTCTGGCCACAGCTCGCATTGATGTGCCATCCTGGATGAGCTGCACTACCTGAGCCACTTGTGTGGGTTGGAGACTCCCTCTCATGCTACCACTAGAGTGAAAGCACCGCCAGCATTCAAAAGTGACCAAACCATCAGCCAGGAAGCATAGGAACTGAGAAGGGGTCTGTGGTCACCATCTGCAGAACCACTCCTTTATTGGGGATGTCTTGCTAACTGCCTATGCTTTCCACTTGTTGTCTATTCCATTTTTACAACAGCATGTGAAATTGATTGTCAATCAGTGTTGCTACCTAAGTAGACAGTTGGATTTCACAAAAGTGTGATTGACTTGGAGTTACATTGTGTTGTTTAAGTGTTCCCTTTATTTTTTTGAGCAGTGTATATTCAAAGGTCAAGGATCTAATGGATTGAATGAAGCTACTATGCCTTCAAAAATATTTTAAAAAACATAGGCTTCAACAAATATACCACCTATCAGCCTTGGAAGCCATTTTTTACTCGGAAGCTTCGAGGCTGCCACATTTAGTGCCTGGGAATTTGCGAGGGGGGATTTCATAGTAAGGTAGATTAGACTCAACAACATTCTTTCTCAGAGAGTCAAGGACGTGTCATCCTGCACCTGGAATGTCTAGAGGAATGTCTCCAGTTGGGGCGACGATTGATTGGTCCATGTGATGGACTGATGGGTACAGGGGATGGAACTTTGATTTTCTTTTGGGAAGGGAAAACCCGGAACTCTCAGATTTGGGTTTTCCCAGATGTGCCAATATGACAACTCCAATAAAATGGAACTTTGAGGAAATGCTCATCTTGGAGTTTATTGGTTTTGGAGTTGGTTAGTTGGAACACTGACACCACCAAGTGTATGATCAGTGTATCCTTACGATTTATATTGACTGTTTCCTAGTATGATTTGATTGTTGATTGTACCCTATGACTATCATTAAGTGTTGTATGTTATGATTCTTGATTCTTAACAAATGTATCTTTTCTTTATGTATACTGAGAGTATTTACACCAAGACAAATTCCTTCTGTGTCCAATCACACTCGGCCAATAAAGTATTCTAATTCTAATCAGAAGCTATTTTTCCCCCTAACACTGCAGAAGGGCAAGAAATGTCCATTCATTCCTTTGTTTAATTTAGCACCTTCCCAGTTTTAAAGGTGAGCGGAGGGAAGAAAAATTATTACTTGGTGGGTTAAGTGAAATCACCCCCACAACCTAGACTGTATAATAGAAAATGAGCAATGTTTCATTCCATTTCTACTTCTGCTGAATTTATTTATATTTCATATTTCTTAATAGCAATAGCACTTAGACTTATATACTGTTTCACAGTGCTTTACAGCCCTCTGTAAGCAGTTTACAGAGTCAGCATATTTCCCCCACAATCTGGGTCCTCATTTTACCAAACTCGGAAGGATGGAAGGCTGAGTCAACCTTGAACCTGATGATATTCAAACTGCCAAACTGCAAGCAGCTTGCAGTCAACAGAAGTAGCCTGCAGTACTGTATTCTAACCTCTGCGCCACTGTATGTGATGACCCATAGTGTCTCAAAAAAACACAAAAACTAAAACATGAAACAAGGTATTGTAATGGCTTCAACTTAACTTTGCTGTTTTATTAGTCACAGTTTAAATTCAAAAAGTAGATAATGAAGCAAAAGGAAACCAAAAACAAACCGCATTGACGAGAGTTCCAAGGCAAACCAAGATAATTAATCACACATTCCAGGAAGATAACCGGGGAGAGTCCATGGGAAGACCGCCAACAAAGATAAACCTCCTCCAAAGAAAGCACTAATTTGACTCCAGCGTCTGTGAACACGCAGTTTCAAACTCTTATACAGAGCTCACAGCTGCAACCCATGAGGAGGATCGTGGCCCTCTCCTCCCGAGTAGTCCACGTTTTTCCCTGATCCTCTCCTCCCTGCATACCCTAGGATGGAGAGGGGATGGGCCTGGATCCTCCTCTGACTATTCAGCCGGCCTCTGCCCTTCCCTAGCCTCCTCCACCACCTCTGGAGCCACACTTCCACTCCCTGTTGGCTGTTCCTCCTCTTGCTCAGAGTCAGTCTCCACCAGGGGCATGAAACTGTGGCTCTTAATAATCCATCTCCCTTTTTCCTCTGAAATGGGAATGTTACTTCATAAAGAACAGTTGAGCACAAGAATCTACACTCCCATTCCACTCAAGCTTTTCTCTCAGCAAAACCAGTATTTTCAGTATCTAATTGTTCACGATTATTCCACCTTACTAGCTATCGGTTTCAACTTAGTCAACCAAAAACTTAGTACTGTACAAATTTTAAACAAAATTTAAATACATGCTGAATAAATAAATACAAACATCATGACACTTACATAAAATATACTTTTCAAAATGTGAAATATTACTTACTGGTGATTCAATGTCGTCAAGAAGCAATACCAGGCAACGCTCACACTTGAGTAGATTCTGGGCTCGATGCATAATTTTTTTCACAATTTTCTCCAAGTCTGTCTGTTCTTCAAAGAGATCATTAACCACCTCCAGCAAGGCCTTCATACATGGGATGGAAATCAATCACAATTGGTTTCCAAAAGTAATGAATAAATAATTGTGTGATATTTCAAAAAAGAGCTGTAAAAAGAACCAGTTACTAACACTCTGGGATACTGGATACTTTGAAATTAAACTTAGATGCATAGGTACCAGGGCATGTACATATGGAATGTTCTCAATTTAGTTCCCCTGTAAGAGACCTGAATATATTTCAACTATTTTTTAAACTATTTCTGACTAGGGAATGTCCTAGTCAGGGAATATTAGCTTTCTGTAACCTGTGTGACCTTGTGCTGAACATGAGATCATTATTTTTTCGTTCATTGCAATTTGAAAGTAGAGATACAAAGCGTTAATTAATCTCACAGCTACTTTGCTTCAGATTGTAGTATCTAATTTATGTGCTTCACAAGGCAAATTATAACATAACAGATTAATTCTCAGTGGCAGTCTACCAAATTTTTGAAATAAACTAGATATTAAGTGATCTTGAAAAGTATTAGTAAAGACTAAGAAAAAAGCCCAGAATAGCTTTTCTGAATGTTTCAATGTAATTATGTGGAAAAGAAAAAAGAATCTTTTCTCATACGGAATTATAGCCTTGATGATTATGGTAGTGAAGCTGAATAGATTTCAGGCAACCCAATACCATGCATTTTACATGGGATTTATTTCAGTTATGAGTGCTGTAGAAAACAAGGAGTATGCAAACATGACACAACACCCAGTGTGAATACAGAACAGTGTACTGATGCCAATTTCTGCTCTTATTCATACTGCACTAATTAAGGCAGAGGTGGGCAATCACCAGCTGAAGAACAGCAGAGATTTTTTACAGAAAGATGCTAAAACCGCTAGGAGTGGCTAGAAGAAAATTTTCTAGTCCTGTTTTGTTCTCCTTTCAAGGATAGGATTGGGCCCAGAACTGCCGACTACAATATGAAAGGGAAAAAATGGTGAACTAATACAAACGTAAGTGACTGGGCAGATGGATCAACTTTTAGGATTCATGCTCTGCACTTAATACATCTGGAGGGAAAAAAGGGTGAGTGAGACATGTCACCCAAATGGACAGGCAAGGGCAGTTTCTGGATGCTCCTTTTTAAAAAATTGTTATTACATTATTATAAGAGATATATAATTCTCAAAATTGTATCTCCAAGGAAAATTTCTATCCTTCCTCATGTCTTCCTAATGCATAGAAAAAAAGTCAACATAGGGATAACTTTCTACCATGTTCATTTAGTTATGATTTTGTCATCTCATAGGGCAACTTTTAGGCAAAATGTTATTCTCAGCAGTCAGTTTAGGTTCAGTCACTCTACTTCACAAAAACATAGGTTAGCCGATATATCAACATAACTATTATTTCAAAAGGTGTTTCCACAGAATAAGACCTAGTTCTCTTACTTCTCTAGGGCAGTGTTTCTTAAAGTGTGGTACTAGGACCCAGAGGTGGGGTCACCGTCTAAGCAAAATAAAATCAAAATCAATTATTTGCTACCCGATGTTAAAAAAATAATACCATCTTTAAATTCCACTAAACAATCATGAGATATTTAATACAGTAAATATGGCAAAAATGTAACCCTTACAAACAAGAGCTTTTCTGGGGTCCTCCATAATTTGTAAAAGTTGGAAAGGCCCCTAAGACAAAAGAAAACATTGCTTCAAGGCAAGGGTAATTCAACATTTATATATATTTTTATTGTTTAATTTATATGCTACCTGATTTCCAGATATGAGCATGGACAAAGTGATAGAATGCTAATTGATAATCCCAATCCATAATATGATCGTATGGTACTATAACAATTAGCCTTATTATTTGGAATGGGTGGGGGGGAGGGGAGGAAAAGCACATGCTAACCTCAGAAACGAAACTAATTAGCAATGGTCGATTTGAATTTCAGTAATAAATTTGAGTGAGGAAGTCTCCCCAAAATGGGGGTAAAAATACTTTGTACATAAAAGCTGCATAAGTAAGCACTAATAATCAAGGCTTTCTTCTTTCATAATACTCCTGCTTTGTGGTATCCTTGCAGAAATTATCCACAGGGATCCAAGTTTGGCAAAGTGAAAAAAAAGAGCAGAAGAAACCTCTCCTTTAAATTTAGGATTTTTTTAAAGCTATTTATTTATTTGTTATGTTTCCACATTATTGGAATTGTGGTATGAATTATTTTCACAAACTAATGAAAGCTCGTTATGTTAGTATTCCAAAAGGAAATCAGGCTTCCAAGATGTATTGAGCTACTAAAGAAAATAAGAATTGGGTTTGCATAGCACCAGTCCTAAAGATAGGGCACATATTAGCGCTGTTGGGGTAATGCGTCTAACATTACTATTGTGAAATTCTTTTCCTTTACTTTTTTTACTTTTTGGAAATAAAAAAAGAAGCAGCAAATAGCAGTGGAGAAAAAAATGACAAATTAAACAAAATGAACATGACTATGACTGAATCCACATAAATTTCAGGAATGAGGCACAGCAAAGCCAATGGATGAGGAATATTACCTTAGAAGCAGTGGTGGGGTTCAATTTTTTTAAACTACCGGTTCTGTGGGCGTGGCTTGGTGGGCGTGGCAGGGGAAGGATACTGTAAAATCCCCAGTCAGAGGTGGTATTTGCCAGTTCTCCAAACCACTCAAAATTTCTGCTACCGGTTCTCCAGAACTGGTCAGAACCTGCTGAATACCACCTCTGCTTAGAAGGCTCCCCCCTTATTCTCCCTGCTTCCCACTGTGCTCCCCAATATTATCCATCTGGCAAAGAGACAGGGGAAATCAAGCAAGCTGAAATGTCAAAAAAAAAAAAAAAAAAGACCAGAAATTGTATTTCTGCTACAGTCAATTTCTAAAGAGCAGGGGAGACATCTCTAAACAGAGTATCTTAGGTTATGCACTGTAAAATATTGATAAAGTTTTATTGGTTGTTATTTAGTTTAGATGTGGTGGCACAGTAGATGTAGAAATGAATTTCTGTAAATACTAGCAAATAAAAATATAAAAAAGATACATCATTTGGGTGTAAGGAGATAGAAGAATGAGAAAATAGGAAACAATATTCTTCTTCTAAATATGACTTCTTCATATTTATAAACAAGCAAATTCCACAATTCAGTGTAGCTTATTCCCAGGGAAAGGTGTACAAAGATGCTAACTCATTACCGCTGCAGCCAGATCTATTCTCAGGATCATGCAGCTGTAGCAGATATCTCTCTGCGGCAACCACACAGTCTTGAAAAATAATGTGGCTGCTTTAATAAGCTGAACAGAGTGCTACATTTGTGCTCCTGTATGTTTCAAAGCACGTTTTTCCCAAATGAATTTAAAGAACTGCACAAACCGCTTCACTGGATAAAAATAAATATGGCAATATTAAAATATAACCTCAAATTAAGAATAATATCAATTATGTTCATTTTGCTGAAACTACAGAATACAGTAACTGTGCAAACAGTTATGCAAATCATAACTTGATCTTTTATCACATAGTAAAACAGATGCCATATGAAATAATATTAATGATAGTTATTCTTGTTGTTATTGTGACTTACTCTGCTTCTATCGTACTCCTTCCTGGAAGCAGCAAACAATTGAGCATTGGATATGGCAATACCACAGAAGGGAAGATACATTTCCATTACCTAGCACATAGAGAAAGACAAGGTCATCAAATGTTCTTTGTGAAATTACACGTGTATCAGCAATCTCATTTTCATAAAAGAAATATCAGAATATCAGCCCAGAGTCTGACATCAAACTTACTTATACAGTTCTCTGCAGAGTGAAAATTAGAGTTCCTGGATAAGAAGACACAACCCCCAACTCCCACTGGATGGAAAATCAGGCCCAGCTCTTTCTGTACCCAATTTTGTAAGGCTGCAATTCAACTCCTCAGATATTTTCTAAGGGATGTTTCTTAATTATGACAATGATTCCCCAGAACAAGATTGTCATGGTAAGAATCTTCCTACTAAAAGGCATAATCTTAGGCTAGACTCAGAACTGTGCCTCCCAGATCCTAAACAATAGGGGGGGGGAAACCCTGGCAAGAAAGCCAGTTTGTGTAATGGTTGAGGTGCTGGTCTAAAAACCCGGAGATAGATAGTGAGCTCTACCCCACCTTAGAATTAAAAACAAATGACTAGGTGACTTTAGCCAATCACTCTCTCTCTCTCACCCAATTAACCTCAGAGGCTTATTGTTGTAGGGGAAATAGGAGGAAGAAATACAGGTACGATTTCTTCCTTGGGGTATATATTGTAATAAAAAAGGCAGGTTAAAATATTATGATAATGACAAAAATCCCCAATGAGGCACTGCCTTGATGAGGTTATAGGGTTGCATGCTTTGAGAAAGATTAGAACTATGCCAGAGTTTCAATCATCATGGAGAGGTCTCCTCAGAGGAGCCAGACAAAGAATGTCTGTCTCATAAACAATATGGTGAGACATAATGACTGAAATTTATCCCAGCCGAGTCATTGCCTGGATCAACAATGACCATGCTAAGTGTAGGAGTTTCTAGATATCTGGTCACAAATGGATTATAGGACTCAGGACTGTTAACCGAGCAACCAGGGCAAGGAGCTGTAGAATTACTGGAAAAAAGTTGCTTACCACAAATATACAAAAACTGCAAACAAATAAATAATTATTTACTATTATAAATCAAGTCCAATGAGAAAATGATATCTGAAAAGGATGCACCAGTTCTCGAAAGAACAACATTCAGTTTCTGAAGTCACAGAACAGATCAATATCATCATCAACGGTCTACCCAGGACAAAGAAATTTAAGCCTTGCAAGAAGTAGCTTAGACAGTAAAAACAACTAAGGGGGGTATTGGTAGTAGAGGAAGTTCACTAGCATCACTGTTCTCATTCCCAAACCAGGCATCCTCTCCTTTACCTTCTCAGAAAGAACAAAGTTCTCCAATTGAAAAAAAAACAGAAGAACTTAAAATGATGAAAAACTGAGCTTCTAGAGCAGCACAAAATCAACAGAATATGGTTACCTGGACTGAAGCTGGTTACAAAGAAAGAAAACCCCAAATACAGTAGTATTAAAAGATGTCAACATTGTAATATCAAATACAAGCATCAATTTACTGCAAGAAGCAAAATAACTGATATAGAGCACTGCTGCAGTTATAACTGGAGATCTTGGATGCAAAATCAACAAACAAGGAAAAAAGTCAAACAGTGCATCACTAAAGTAGAAAATCAGGTTAGAAAATAAGATCAGCTTGCTAAGATTGGATCAAGTAAGCTAGAACAGATTTTAAAAAAAGAATCTGAAGAATAAGGAGATCAAAGAACAACTGATCAATAAATATCAATAAACAAATTTAATAAAAAGTGAAGTTAAACAAATCCTTCAGGATGACAACATTGGGGTCACTGAAGTCAAGAAAAAAGTTAGTACCGAATATATCATTAGAGCGAAGAAGATCTTAAAGCCCAATCTAGTGCAGGAAATTCCATCAAGGCAATTAACATTTGAGCAATTCCGGGAATTATATATACAGCTGGCATAGTGGACTGGGCTCAAACTGAACTAGCAGCTCTGGTAGGAAGACCAGAAAAATAATCACAATGAACCATCTCCTTCATCCAATGCAGTGACATTGACAGAGTCTACTTACCAAGAATAAGTGGGAATGCAATTTTGTAAGTACACCAGATAGATGAAGAAGAAAAAAGGGCACTGGAAGAAAACCTGAAGGACAATGATGCACTGAAGCTAGTACACAGTAAGGCTTAAGAGATCAAACTGGCTTATAAGAAAGACCAAATGAAGAATAGAAAAGAGGCACGGGAAGGCAAAATAATATATGGCCAGTACACTAAAAAAAAGAGGGGGGAACCAATAGGCGAAGAAAATAACAACAAGACCTGGCAATGGCTAAAAACAGGAAACTTGAAGAAAGAGAAAGAAGGGCTAATTCTGGCTAGAAAGTTTACGGCTTAAAAACAAATGCATATAAAGCCAGGATTGAGAGGACAGCAACAGACAGCAAATCCTATCTCTGCAGAGAAGCTGAAGGAACACCTAGTTAGCTGCTGCAAGAAGGTTGCACAGACTGATTGCAGACAACAGAATCACAAAGTAGCAACAATGGCACATCGAAATATTTGCAATAAATAACACGTGCCTGCAAGCAAGAAATACCATGTACAATAAGCAGCAACTGGTAGAATCACAAAATAGACAAGCTAATGAAGAATGAAAAAGTCAATGGGTTCTGGGACTTTAGAATTCAAACAGAGAGCAGAGTACCTGCCACAGAACATGCTAGATTTTTAACTACTGTTGATAAGAAAGACAAAAAAATTTGCAATAAATATTTGGATATAGCAGAATAAAAGAGAAAAAAAAACTAGAGAAAATCAAGGTCTGCAAAATACAAAGATCTGCAAATAGACTTGATTGTTGCAAATAGGCAAAAATAGTACCAGCTGCTATAGGCGCATTAGGTGCAGCCCTAAAACAGTTTGAGTACCACTTGAACATAATTAGCATTGACAAAATCACCATCAGTCAATTGCAAAAGGCAGCTTTATCTGGAAAAGCTTATACCCTGCAACAATACCTTAAACAATATCTGCCTGTACCACCAAGTCCATGGGAAAGACTCCAAAAGGCTGAATCCACTTTAAATATCTGGCTATGTGACCATTATACCTTCTTTAAATAAGATACTGGCCCACTCTACTCCAAAACAACACCTCAGAAAGTAACCGATCCAAAAAAAGGCCTATTGGCCAGCTTTCCCACATATTAATTTTTTAAAAAAAAATTAAAAGAAAACCTCATTCTGAGTGCAAACCAGATCAGAGTGGAATTTTTGTTTAATAAACATCAGCAAAGCAGAGCAAAATAGAACTTGCTCAGCAAAAAAAACAAGATGCATACTGAAGATATTCTATTCTAAAGAAAAGGAATAATACTTAAAATTAAATTTAAAAATGTTTAGGAAATATTAGGAAAAGATTTTTTGAAAGTTCCCTAAGATGTTTTGTGGATTATACAGAAGGACCTAGAAGTTCACTTGAATCTGGGTCCTTACCTCGGAAGGATGGAAGGCTCAGTGAACCTTGAGCCCGTCAGAATTGAACTGCTGGCAATCGGCAGAAATACTGAACTTTAACCAATGCACCACCATGGCTCTTAACAGAACTTGGCCAACTTTATCTGGGCTCAGAAACTAAGCAGTACTGGGTCTACTTAATGCTTGGACAGGAGACCTCCAGCAAATACTAATGCTTTATGCTAGACTGGGAAACTACCAAAATATTAACAATAACGATGACGATGATGAAAAAAGAGATGGCAAATCATTTCTATTTTTCCTAAAAAGAAAACTACTTGGATACAGTGGACATACTGAAGTCACCAAAGGTAGAGCTTGACTTGAAGGAGACTTGACTCTACTTTCCCATGAAAGTAGACTTGAAATTCTAGAACTAGAAAACCTTGAATTACGCCGTCTTCGGTCTGATTTAAGCATGGTATATAAAATCATACATTGCAATGTCCTACCTGTTAATGAATACTTCAGCTTCAACCATAACAACACAAGAGCACACAATAGATATAAACTCAAAGTTAACTGCACCAAACTTGATTGCAGGAAATACGACTTCAGCAATAGAGTGGTCAATGTCTGGAATACTCTACCCGACTCTGTAGTTTCTTCCCCAAACCCCAAAAACTTTAACCTTAGACTGTCTACTATTGACCTCACCCCTTTCCTAAGAGGTCTGTAGGGGGCGTGCATAAGCGCACCAACGTGCCTACCGTCCCTGTCCTATTGTTTCTCTTATTCTTCTTTTATTTTTCTTATATGTACCCATTTCATGTATTCACAACTATGCATACACTTATACTTATTATCTTGTAAACAATTGGCAAATCAAATAAATAAAAATAAAAATAATGGCTTCAAATTTTGTGACTGATGAAAGAATAGCTCTCTAATGTGTTGTAAAGGTTAGTTATTTGCTATACTTCATTTATAAGCCTCAAAAAAACCTAAAAAGTAATTCAATAATAATTCTGTTCTTCATCTAAAACAAGGGTCTTCAAACTTGGCAAGTTTAAGACTTGTGGGCTTCAACTCCCAGAATTCCTGAGCTAACATGACTGGAGGAGGAATTCTGGGAGTTGAAGTCCACAAGTCTTAAAGCTGTCAAGTTTGAAGACCCCTGATCTAAAATTTGTACTTGTTAACTTTATTTATATAAATATGGCATGCGAATTGCTTAGAATCATTTCCAAATGAAATGGGAGGGAGAGACCTAATATTACTGTCTCTAGTCTTCATCATTTAATCTGGAATGTAAATTTCCAGAACAAAAACTTCCAAACTGTAGCTGAATACTTGACATTTTTCATTTGTATCTCTTTTATTTTTAGAACATGATCACAAAAGCAAACGAAGGAATTAAAAATGATAGATCTAGAATGTCATCTTTTTATTTTAGCTGACCCCAAATATTTTACGGCAAATATTTTCCCCCAAAGGGAAAGAATTATAAACAATATTTTTATGTTACTTTTTCCCACTTCTTTCTAAGATTCACGTTTTTTAAGTTAGTTGCCCAAATATATCTGATGATGCCTAAAATGTGACAGACACA